TCATTGGAAGTCTGGTTACTGTCTCGTGAATATTGTGACGCCCATGTCCGTTGTTTTCATAATCACGGAACCTTTTAACGGGAAATTTAACCATTCCGCACACAGCAACTGCACAACTGAATCACCCTGTCGCCGAACACGTTCATGCTGTAGGCGCGACGGCTCAAGTTATCCGTGTGACTCCGTGCACAATACTGGATGTGTGATTCATAGCAGGGCCAATGGCGGCGAAAACTATCGGCTTTTCAGGACCAGTGCAAGTGTCAGAACCTTTCAGGACGGGTCTACAACGTGGCAAACGTGATATCATCATTTTCATGAATTCCCTCTTCTTCCAATAGCAGAAGATTTCAGCCAGCGCCGAAAGCCATAGAGGTGACAGTGGAAGGAGAATTGGAATATTGATGCCAAGGCCGTCACTAGCGTATGCTTAAGCGTTATCTGCAGCACACCAGCCGGCCGACTGAACCTAACTGGCAGCATGGGGTGTGTGTGTTTGCTGTTTTCCTGGTTAACAATGCCGATTAGAACGTCGCCCACACCCGTGTTGGAGTGCGTTACCAACTGAGTCATTGTCTTCGACAAAACATGGAAAAGGTCCTCGGGGATCATTGTCAATAGGGGGAAGGAAACCGAACCAGACCTTTTCAGCGTATCTGCCTTCATTGGCCAGCGAACCATCAACCCCGGGTGCTGACGTAAACCAAATTAATCTGTTACGACGCACTAAAAGTTGGACTGACGATATAACTCGGCCTGAGGACAGAGGCTCAGGCTGTAATGCGTCCTTCTAATAATGGCCTCTTTGACATACTCTGGCATGAGAAATTCGAGTCGCCTTCACGCAGGTCTCGTAAAAGCTGAGGGGAGCAAGTCATGTGTGGCACCGTCACGGCAGCCGAGAAAGCAGACAGCTTCGGCACAAAGAGGTGTCGTTTTTCTTCCAACGTGGACGGTCGCGAGTCGCTAACAATGTGTCAACAGGGCACAGCAGAGGTGACAGCGGATAATCAAAGGGTATTTAAGGGTAATAGGCAATGCCCTGGATGACACTACCGAAAACGTTCCATAATATATAAATGGTAAACTCACATCTTACTAAACGTTTGCTAGTAACATATTTGTTTGCGGAAAACGCTGTCATAGTGCGTGACTGCGAAAGGTGCGGCAGGCGGTCTTTTCAATGTACATATGGAATTTTAAGTGAAATTATATACAATCAGCATAAAGTGCAGTCATTTGCGTAGTTTGGGAGGGAAAATTTCATTAAACGTCAGGGATGTGTTACATAGGGATGAAGTCACGAAACGAAATTTATGGCTGGCCGCAAACAGTCCTGCAGCGAGAGTCGTCATTTATCAAAGGTCAAAAGACCTAGATGCCTTTTGAATATAGATAATGAACCAGATGTCAATATTTGACTTGGGAGTGAGTTCCACGATCAAACAACACGGCGGCTGAAGGGAAACTTTCGATGGTCTAGGCGTGTGCGCTCCCGCTTGACTTTGCACGGATAACCGCGCAGGTGACTCATGTTCGTGAATTCAAAGAAGTCTTCAGATCTCAGCGAACATTCATACCCGTGGATAATGTGGTATGTCCATAACAGGTCACACCTCATTCATTTATAGGAAAGGGGGGAACAAGTTTTGTTGGATTAGTCTTTCTGAATATGGCAGAGTCCTGAGACCGTCCACCAGTTTTGTGTCCGTCGTTGCGCCTGCTCTATGGCATCACTGTGTTTCCTCACCCAGGACATCCATGATGGCATTCCGTATTCCAAATGCGGTCTGACGAACGTGCTAAATATCTGTGAGAAGAGTTCGGGAGGAAAGATTTTGAAGGCACGCCTAATCCAGTACATAATGCAGGTTGTCTTTTGGACGACTCTTTTGCAGTGTTGGGAGGGCAGCAAGTTTGAACATGTCCAGACACCTAGGTCTTTGTGTGTGTCCACTTCTTTTAGTGGAACCCCATTTATGGTGAAATGGTATTTTGGGAAGCGCCTCCGACCAGATTCTAGTCGCAAGACTATCCATTTGGATAAGTTAAACGCTAGGAGCCACTTGCGTTTGACTAGGCTGTAACATAATGTCAACTAAATGTGGATATCGGCAGAGCCATTTCACTTAAAAAGAAACACAACCTAGAAAGTATGCATTTAAATGAGTGTTGGTGTTCGCGGACCTCCAGTCCAAATTTCCACAAGAAATGCGCAACGCCATCGAATTAAATTCTTGCACGAAAGGAGTGCCTCGCTTTGGGAAAATTTTGCATGATGAATATTCATGAGGTAGGGACACGGCTGTCTTTATATTCTCATGCCCACAACGCCATTAATTGTACTGCCATTCTTAAAATTAACCTACATATGCAGGCCAAGAGGTCGTTTTGTATGACTATGATGTGACATGTATATTTGTCTGATAAAAAATATTTTGTTTTCATTTTGTGCGCACTAGAATCGAGTTGAAACGCCGGCGTGTTTTGGAGTGTCCAGAAATATCGAAGGCCTTAAAATGCATACTACGTCCTGCCCATCTTACGGAAGAAGCATTTTCGTATCAACTGAAGAAAATTGCACTAAGATGAAAACCCCTGCAAACTGCACAGCAAATTGCACAAGTGACTGGAAAAATGTTCACCAGTGGAATGTGGACAAAAGCACACCTACCATGCATATGTTTGTGCTACTTATTTTATTTTAGTAGTAAGACATATTTAGACATACATGACGTCGTAGGAGATAACACGACGGGACGTAGCAAGATACCACGCTGTCTCGTACGCACTCATTACGTTAGAGTGATGAACGGGCAGGATTACAATCTCGTTCTGGTAATGCGCTTTTCCTATGAAAATTTTTATAGTTTCCTGTAAGCATATCATGGCCATCGTTGCATACAGAATTTCAGTTAGTTGCCGTCAATTTGGAGATTCGTCATCCACATTAAACGGAAATTTAGCGTATTTTTGGTTTGATGAGTGGGATTCCCTGCCAGTGTGCAGGTCAAACCGAATGACTGAAGGATATTTCATTGTTTTCAAATGCTTTGTTTGTGGAGGTCTGCCTTTGAACATCAGATTGCGCCAACGGTAGGCAGCTGAATGTTCAGTTGTAAGACCAATAATGGTTCTCAGGTGTAGAATTCTGAAAAATCCAGAAGACGAAATTAAAATAACAGATTGGCCCAGCTCCTCTTATTTATGTCATGGTCGCTGTCTGTCTAGTATCAAGCTGGTTAAACCAGAAGGCATTTCGAAGCTTTGGAGGACAATATCAAAAATAAGCTGGTCAGTGGGAACTGTGAAGAGCATTCATTGTAATTTTTAGCGAAGATTATTGGTTTTTAGTCAGTAGTAAGTTTTGAGAGAAGGCTGCTGGAATCAGAATGACAGTTTATCCTTAACAACGTAAAAATGAATTGTCAAACTGGACGTTTTCACAATGTCATTGAAGATTTGTTTTGGGTTGGCTTAGGAGGCGGAATTCTAGCGGATCCCTCTGGAATTAGTCCAAACACATCGTCCTTTCCGATCATAAGGATTCGGACAACGTTCCGTTCCTCATAAAGGAAACAAAACGAGATATAACCGTACATCTCGACCCTATATACGCTATTAAAAGTGGTTACGCCTTTAATTGGGCTAGTTATAGAACCAATCCAGAGAATCAGTCAGCGCAGTATAACGTACACACCGTTCCCTTTTCTATAGACTTGTTAAACAACCGCTTTGCGCTATAGACTGAGTTGAATAGAGGCATGTGGCGCTAGTGTTGAAAGGGTTGGCGGTAATCAATGGGCCCAGTGTCCTGGGATCAGTACAAATTTCAGCAGTGAGCGCAGTCAGAGGCTGCAGGCCACAGATTTCTCGTGGTGCAATTCGCGCTTTCGTATCAGATGCACCATATTGCAAGCAATGGCGGAAACTTTAAATTTTTGACGTAAATAAGTTCTTTTGGGACAATTAGGAAACTTTATTTGGTAAATATATCCAACTCCAGTTACGTAGGTCGCCGTCAAGTGTTGAGTTAGTGCGTAAAAATGACAAAATCTTCGAACATGTTCAGAAAATCAATACTTTTCTGCGCCTGTAGACTGCCGTGTGCGCCACTTTGTATCGATCGACTAATGTCTCCCAATTTCCTTCTGGTATATTGTCCATAGTAAAGGTTTGCCTGCTTTTTAGGGCATTCATGGACACGTGCGACAGATGGTTTTGCGCCTTAACTGCCAGTTGATACTCGTGAATGCAGATAGAAGCAGACTTTCCAGTTTGCATCAATATATGACGTCGCAGTCATCACTCGCAGTCTCGTGAACGGCCTCTTTTTTATTCAGATAACCAACCCAATCTTTAGGGTGTACCCGCTGAATGCGAAATATAGTCGGCGGTGTAAGTTCATGCAATCACAGTCTCAAGGCTGTGTGTAGTTCCCAAATGCATGGAAGGAATATTGAATAATCGGTTCTTCCGACTCCTGATATTTGATTACACTGTAATATAGGAGGTTTACTTTCGAGTCGAACTCTTCTAAATTGCTGAGTCCCACCTAACAGATATGTGTCCAAATAAACGTTCTTTACATGCCTGACGAATAAGGCGATTAGTCCAGTTTTTACCTATATGAATAAGTTAACATATAATATAACTGGCTGAGAGATGAAAATGTCCCCCATCGAGTGTTAGATTGCCGCAAAAATGGAGGATAACTGCGTTCTAATATGCAGGCATACCAGGAGAACGAGAAATCTGTAGTTATTGCGGAGTAACTATCACACGACATGCCTTAAATTCTGCACCCGTTCACCCGAAGTTCACCACGTGATAGAAGTCGCAACGCTGCCGTGCGAACCCTCGTTTCATGTCATGCGGCCTTCCGCCCACAGAAAGCACAAGGCTCAACGTTGAAACTTCGTGTCAGCTGACATAATCTCAAAAAAGTTTCATTTAGAAAATAAACAACAATATTCACGGAACACTGCAGCAGCAGACGTTCATCGCTTCTTCTTGTCCTTCTTCTTGGGCCACTCCAGCGGAATGCTGACTTGACGCCACACAGCTCTGCCGACCCTCTTGGCACCCGACCAGACCTTCTTCCCAACCCGTACGACCGCTCGCGCACCCGCTCTAATAGCGCGTCCGGCGAAGCGCCCAAGTGGCTTCAGTGGAATCCGCGCTGGGGCCAGGACCTCGTCTCCGTGCAGTTGGGATTCCTCCCACTCCTCCTGCGCCGTCGCGGAGCTCACCTCGTCCACCAGCTTGTCGAGGTCTGCTGCGTCTTGCAGCCGAAGGGAAGCCGCTAAAACAGTCAGTCCAAGGAGACAGAAAAGTACTATCGGAGACTGCATGCTGCGCTATGCGCGAACGACGCTCGCGGACATTTATATATTGAGACACAGGACCGCGAGTATCGTTACTGATCGTATTTACGGAGGCGTAGGTTGCCATGACGCATATGGGTGTTTGTTTACTTGGTTCGGAGGCGTTCGATGGTCTGACACGAGCACTGAGCATTCAAAAACGCAATATTTATGTTCGGGTCTTGCAGTAACAGGACAAATGCCATATCAAAAATTTTTGAGAATGGCAACGTTGAGTTGGATGTTTTGAGCACTTGATCGATCTGATTGAGAATGCTGAAAGAAGAAGCATTTTCCTGTTTTCACGTAAAATCACCCTGAACAAAAATATTCTTACTAAATAGTAAGGGACGCTCAACGACTGTTCTTAAGGAACTCACTTGTTCCGTTGTGCCTTACGGGCTCTTTCTCGAGCCCAACCAGCAGCCGCACAGCGGCGCATGAGATAGGCAGTATGATATTACCGACGAAGACAAGGGAGACTGAAATGGCCATTTCTGGCTTATTAGCCGTTGTCAGTCAGTCATAACCAACCCCGAAGTCTGGAACACCCGTGGCTCGAGGCAACAACGGAACGAGTGAGTTCCATAAGAACGATCCGTGAGCGTCCCCTACCATTGTATATTCCCGATCGAAAACCCACAGGGCAACGGGCTCGTGGCCCAGTGTTTATAGGCGTGGACTTCTAACTAAGAGATCGCGAGTTCCACCCTCGGGTGTTCCACATTTCGGGGGGTCGGGTATGACTGGCTGACGACGGCTAATAAGCCAAAATGGTCATTCCAGTCTCCCCTGACTTTGTCGGTAATAACATTCTGACTACTGCTCAAGCCGTCATATCTTCCTGAAAAAGACTAAACGCCTGCTTATCAACTACTGTGCAAATTCACTGCGTCGTTGAAAAAAATCGGTCCAGGTCAATCAACAGACAACTGCTGTCTGATAAATGCATACAAATGTCAAACTTTTTTTATTAATTATTTTTTGAAGTCTGCCAGTTCGGAAATCGATCCCTCGTTGCCTGATTTGCACACTATCGTTAAACTCTGCAAGTTCATCGTATTGGATAAATAGTCCACTATCCTGGCAAGCCTAGCCTATCCGTCGCCTCATAAACGTGTTCGTTTTAATAGGGGCAGATGCTCCTCCTACAGCTAGGGCTCTGTTGGGGACGACAACATGTGTTAACGCATGAGGTACAAGTGCCGTAATCACAGTTGAATCGTCTACAACTGTTCTACTACCTGACAAGGGAAGGACAGATAAAAGCGAGGAGGCGAGTTTCAGAAATCCGTTCAGTAAAAGAAGAGAATGCGACCGCTGGGACGTGGGGTTAATTGAAAGGTTAACTAGCAGGCAGTCATCGAGCCAAATTCGATCCACAGCAATGAAAAAGAAAGTGGTCAATTATAGTGGGCATTCGGCTACGTGGCCGCTGTGTCTTATAAATACTGCGCTTCTTATGATTACATGATTCTTATATGCGACTGTCCGTGATGATGGGTTCGAGTGCGAATCCAGGACATCAGCCTAACAAGCCTCTAGCCTCAAAGACCGCATGTTTTTCTTCGGAAGGAAAGACTGACCCTCACTGTTTTTCGATAGCCTCAAAAGCGTCTGAATGCTTACGATAAGGGAGGCGCTGAATCATCAGAACATAGTGAGGTCTGACGAGTGGAGACTGATTGAGAAGTGGCGAGTTTCAGGAAGAAAAAGAAGGCGGCATCACAAGAACAAGAGGTTTATTCGGAGAGAAATTAGTCCTGTTGGATGGCGCGGGCTAAAAACAGTTTCGGTGATAGTGAGCCACCTGATGGGCTCAGTTGAGAATCCGGAAAGTCAGGCCAGCAAACCTCTTCTTCCTGCAAAAAACACTTTTTCTCCGGAACCCAGGATTTATATTGGATCTCAGTTGACAGCTTCGCAGGTCACAGCATCCACTGTGTGTCTCAGTTATCAAAATAATTGCGATCACCAACCATGGATTAACTCTACCGGTGACCTGCATAGAGGAGAAATAAGTAGTAAACTGTGCCGCCTGGCGATACAATATTTGCGTCTTGACATATTGGGGGGGCTGGATGGCGCTTCAAATGGCAGCGGTGTCAATTGTTCACGCACGTTCATCGAGGCGGGAGTCACGACGGACAAGCTCTGCATCTGCAGCCGACTGGACTTCGACTGTCCCACCAAATGAAGAGGATTGAATTATCATGCCAGATGGCACAACTCTAAACCACAAGATCAAGCGTGTCCTGATAGATTTAACCGCATTGGTCTGATCCTGTCAAAAATGCGCCGACTCGTCATTAAGTAGTTGAAGGGTCAACATACTCCTTCACTTTTCCCTACACCCGGTTCCTCTCCGCATTTGACGGTGCATGCGACTAAAGTGGAGAGAGCTTCCGTCCGACGCACAACAAACAGACATACATACAATGTTCCATTACGGACGTAGGCTGAACGCAGTGTGGCTGGATCATTCAGTAAATCACTATGACCCCCGCTCTGACGCTGCGCGACAGGTACACTGCTCGCTGTCCCCAAAACAGGAGTCGTCTACTCTTATCACGTATCCAATCTGGCGTTTTATTTTTTCTTGCATAGGTGTGCCGTAGGCAGGTGAGGGATAGCCTACATTCTGTGACGTATTGTCGCTGACACCACATACACCCACGCGTAAGTGGGCGGATAGCTGATACGACAAGTGTACGCGCGCACATACTGTGCTGGTCGCGGTTCAACGCCTATATAAACAGACGCTCCGCCCCGATCCGGACATCAACATGCAATCTCTCATTTCACTGCTCCTGCTACTGCTCAGTATCACTGCTCTCGCCGCATCCTTCCGTCTTCGACAAGAGGATGAGGCGGAGCTGATGGATCTCGCCAAATCGACGTCAACTGACCTGACAGAGGACAGCGTCGAGGAGGGGTAGGTGCTGGCACCTGCACGAATTCCCGTGAAGCCGATTGTGCGAGGTGCCTGGGAGTTGGCGAAGAGGCATGGACCGAGAATTGTGAACGGCGCCAAACGTGCCATCGGTGCCGGTGTGCGGAAAGCGAAGGAGGTGGGTGGGAAGATTGTGCGGGGTGCAAAGAGGGCAGGCAAGGCAGTGTGGGAAAGGCTGAGCGTTCCCGTCGAATGGCCCTCCGACGATGACGACGACTGATACTCAGACGATCATCAATGCCTTGGATTTACCAAATATTCAGAAATATTATACTGTACCTTTTTGCCATTTGTCACATTTATAATGCTATTTTTATAAAATTTGTTTTTTTGGGAATACGTGCAGGGATGGGTGTGTCGAGGCAGGCATATACTCCTGTGCAATAATCTAAGCATTCTACGATAGGATAGCAGAAAACCTCACACATTTAAGGAAGTTGGAAAACTACACCATATGATCAGTACATGCGTGAAAGATGCGTCCATCTCCTACATATCGGGCTTTAGATCGCAATAACTTACTCCTATTTCTTCAAGGGCATAGTCTTTTTCTCAAACTTGGTAGCATCGGTGATTAAGTGGTTCGGGTTTTATACGCAGGAGTGATTGGTGACCCCGCAAAGCTCGCCATAATATATATTTCGGGAATTGAGCCCCCAGTGTCCACGCCGGCCTAATAACTGATGCTGAGATCTAGATGCGCGTCACCTACTGTCTTCATAATACCGGAGTGCACGTGCCCTTGTATGGGAGAATTTTGCAAATATTGCGTACACTGCTGTCCTTCAGGAACCTGACCATTTAACCGTCCATGGTGTTCACCATTCTTCCATAGCAGGCTGCGAAAAGCACGGCAACTTGCGCGTAAGTTAGTTTGAAGTTAAATGAAACTTGCTCAGCTTCTAACGCACCCCCTACTCCCCCTCGCTTGCCAGAGCTCGGTGTCAAAACATAGTTAAGAAGACCGGAATTTTCAGAAACTTCCTACTTGTTCTACTTCCCTTTTTGTATATATATTTATATATACTATTTTTATAACATGGACTTTTGAAAGGAAGACTTCTTGAAATGAAGTGTTTTGAGGTATGCCTACGCTCCTGTCTGATAATTCCAGATATCCAGGCATTTGCTATGAGTGTGCATTCACGATAATGCATTCCAGAACTCCATAGACCCATATTTAGGTCCAAAACGTCTTCCGCGTGGCAGGTTTTAGAGGCACAGTGAACTACGACTTGAGCCTGAGCCCAGGAGGCGTGCCATCGCACACCGCATGTGTGGCATTTGTTGTATGTGCGAACCCAACATGCTGCTTGTCTGTTCATTCACAGTGCAGCCCCTTGCAGGGACGCATCAGTACAAATTCCTTCGCACAAAATCTAGCTCTGTTAAGCAAACCAAATGGGGTTCGTAAAAGTAAGCAGTGGATTTGAGGCATGTTGTTAACTTTACAGGTCACATTCGAAAATGCAGATACATGACGTTTTACGAACGGCCATTTCTTGGTCTTAAAAAACTCACGAGTAGAAACTCTTTTTCACACGGAATTATGTCCTTCTGTCGAGGATGAAATTGTAAGAAGACGTGTTTTTATGGAATAAGTAAGAGAAAGAATATATCTATCATGTTATCCATGAAATATAGTTGAATTTTCAAGGGCATTGAAAATCAATGAGAAAATTGCATGCTATATAAGTAGTCATTTTTTGCCGAATGAAGTCCTTTCATGCAGCCGGGAAGAGGTTCATCCGAAAGCCGACACCCTGAGGTAACCGGATCATTATAGAATTATGCTGCATGATGATAACTTTTACAACCCTTATTAATTAATCTTTTCGAAGCAAGAACGCAGTTCGAAGTTTCGGTTGACATTTCATGCGTTAGCCAAACTACTGTGAGTGCGCATCCTATATAACGCCTGTCAGTTAATCCACAGCGCGGCCCCTTGTAGAGGCGCATCAGTACAAATTCCTTCACACAAAATCTGGCTGTGTTAAGCAAACTGTATGACGCAGACTGTAGATGCTGACTTCAGTCGATGAATCGTACGAAGGGTATCATTGGGCGCATAGCATGCACCGTTCGACACTCCGCCCTGATGTGAGCCGACCCACAAACGGCTATATGATGATCACCACCACAAACTTTGGCTGTGCGATGGGAGATGCGCCATTTCCTTCAGGCTGCTATACGCCATTCCAGTAAGGCTGCATCCATCGCACGTAGAAGTACGTGAATAGGCAAAAACATGGGAATCAAGTGGAATGGTTGAACACACTGCGACACACTCGAAAAAGTAAGTTGAGAAGACGAATAAGGAAACACAAGTGTAGCTTATCGTCATTAATAAATATTCGTCAAACGAGACTACCACCATGAAGATTAAAGGAAATTCTCCGGAGTGTACGTTCGTGAGATTACAATTTCTAGGCAATGTGTACTTTAGCAATGCCTTAGAGCCATTTTGAAAAATCAGTTCGTCACACATGTAGTTACACGGGTAAATGGAGGATTGACTTTGGGTCTCTACTGAATAAACTTCATAAGTAAAAAATGAAGGGGTACCCTAACGAGTGCTTGATTCCTGCACTATGAATGTACTCCGCATTTGAGGAAGCTGACGAACCACCTGAACGCGAACATGTAGGCATCTAAGATAATTCCCAAAATAGACGCGGACATGCGATCATGCGGTAAGTGAGAAATTCCACGCCCAACTGCCCGAAGTCCACCGAGTAATATTCATCGCAACGGTACCGAAAGAACCCAACTTGCATGTCATCCGGTCATCCGTCTGCTGAGAAAAACAGACATGATCATTGATTCTTTTGGATAACTGATATAATTCCACGAAGGTTTCTTAAAAATACATTAAGGGTCACTGGGTTGACAGACTCCTCATCTCCTCTTCTTCTTGTCCTTCTTCTTCGGCCATTCCAGCGGGATGCTGACTTGGCGCCACACGGCTCTGCCGGCCCTCTTGGCACCCGCCCAGACCTTCCGACCAACCTCTCCGGCCTTTCGCGCACCGGCTGCGATTGCGCGCCTAGCACCACGAACAAGCCGTGGGCCATGGCGTTGGACGGCACGTATTACGCCCCGCACAACTGGTCTCAGTGAAATCCGCGCTGCGGCCAGGACCTCGTCGCCGTGCAGCTGGGATTCCTCCAACTCCTCCTCCTCCGCTGTCGTGGTGCTCACCTCATTCACCAGCTGGTCGAGGTGTGTTGCGTCTTGCGGCTGAAGGGAAGCCGCTAAAACAGTCAGTCCAAGGAGACAGAAAAGCACCACCGGAGACTGCATGCTGTGCTATGCACGAACGATGCTTGCGGACGTTTATATAGCGGGGCAGAGGACTGAGACTACCGTCAGTGATCGCATTTACGGGGGCGTAGACTGCCATGAAGTAGAGAGGCGTTTGTTTACTAGGTTCGGAGGCGGTCGAAGTCCTGACATGTGTACCCGAGTATGCCACGTGCTGGGAATGAACGGTTATACTCTCGTCTAGCACGACCAGTTCAGCTACCATTCCAGCAGAAGTTGAAAGCGATAAGTTTGAGGCGAATGGATTATACCAAAAGATGGGATTATTGGTTAGGCTGTGAGAGAAGTGAAGTTTACCGTTTCATGTAAAACTGATTTTAACGAAAGCAGCCGATCTAAATAGTGAAGAGCGTATTTGTTTTTCAACTGATTACTCGCCCTGAGGATGAGGCTGCTAAACGTGCAGAGTTGAAACGTGTTCTTATGTTATTATGTGTTCGGTGAAGATTTTAATAAGCAAACATATCCAAAGTTCCTGGATTTATTGTTAAAATTACTGACTGCATTTCTTTAGCTAAGGGATTGATCGCTGCACTTCGCGAAGAAAAGCTGCTGAATCGAAATATATTCGAAGGGTTCTTTGAGAGAATGTCTGCCAGCGCAAATTCGTCAGACGCTGCACATGTTAGGGGCTCGGAATCCACTCAACCGCCCTCTCACAACACGCAGGTTATCATAGTTGTAGAGATCGGAAGCAGCTTCCAGCCAGATGTCACAAGGTAGAAAGAGCCGCCGTCCCGTCAGAGAATGACGTTTACTAGATCCGTTACTGTTGAGGACAAACCATCGCCATCGGAGAAATTGGACGATAATTGCGAAAGCGAATAGCAGATAATGCAACATCAGTGAGGTGGAAAAACGTCAACTACTACATTGCAGCTAATTCAAGAGGAAGAGTGTCCACAAACATGAAAATCATTCATTCCTACATTCTGTTTCCTCTTTTTTGTGCATCCATGTCGCAGGCTGTGACTCTGAGGCGCTGGTCACCACGTCCACCCACGCGCTAGTGCGCGGTTTGCTGATATGATTGGCATACGCACGCACACACTGCGCTGGTCGCGGTTGCACGCCTATATAAACGGACGCCCCGTCCAGATCAGGACATCAACATGCAATCACTCACTTCACTGTTCCTCCTACTGCTACTCAGTCTAACTGCACTCGCCGCCTCCTTCCATCTTCGGCAAGAGGATGAGGCGCAGCTGATGGATCTCGCCAAATCGACATCGACTGACCTGACAGAGGAGAACGCCGAGGAGGAGGAGGTGTTGGCACCGGCACGAATTCCCGTGAAGCCGATAGTACGAGGTGCCTGGGAGTTGGCGAAGAGGCACGGACCGAGAATTGTGAACGGTGCCAAACGCGCCATCGGTGCCGGTGTGCGGAAAGCGAAGGAGGTTGGTGGGAAGATTGTGCGGGGTGCGAAGAGGGCGGGCAAGGCGGTGTGGGAGAGGCTGAGCGTCCCCGTCGAATGGCCCTCCTACGATGACGACGACTGATGCTCAGACGAACATCAATTTGTGTGGTTGACCAGATTTTCAAAAGTATTCTATTGTATCTTCTTTGCTTTATGCAACATATATAACTGCTATTTTTATAAAGCTGGCTTTTGTGGGGACTACCTGGTGAGATGGGATGTGCCGAGGTAGGCTTATTCTCGTGGGCAATAATCTATGCATTCCTTGAGGGCAATACTTCAAAACCTCACAAAATTAAGGAAATTGATGGAATGCAGCATATGGTCACTCTTATGTGAAGAATGAGTTTATGTCCTACATATCTGGCATTAGATCGCAATAGCATCCTCCTGTTTCTGCAACGGCTTCTTCTGTTTCCCGATCTGAATAACACCGGCAGATAGGTTGTTTGGGTTGACCGCGGAGGAGTGATGCAAAAAAGCGTAGCCGTCGCTTCATCCGCTCATACATGGCGCGCAGTTGTCGTTGGGATGGAGTCTCTTACCGTTGACCTCCCCTCCCCTCCAGATAGACCTCACCTCCTGCCTTCATTATTACATAGTGCACGTATTCTTGTATTCGTATTTGTTGCAGCCCGGGAGGACGTTGCAAATATTTAACACGCTGATGTCATTCAGACAGCTGGCAGCTCAATCGTCACATCCGACGATGTCCACCATGTATTCCACAGCTGGCTAAAGCAGCCATGTTGACTTGCGCGTGAGGTAGTTTGCAGTGCAAGAAATCATGCGCAGCATCTATCGCACGCCCTCCTCCAACTTAACCTGGACCCGGTGTCAAGGCAGCGCCAAGAAGACCGGAAACGAGGACGGGAGGGCACAGGTGGATGTCACGACCGGACCTGCACCTAGGCACCTAGCCATTAATTAATTATATTGGGCATGTGTTTGCGTGACCGCTGCGTCAAGGCAGCCTCTGGAATGGAGGTGAATGGCTACTCCGGACAGGCACATAACGCATCACGTGAAATGTTGACCGAAATTTGGAAATGCCTTTTCGATCGGGAAGACTTAATGAGATATCGTTACAATATTGATTATCAAGCGGCATAATCTTATAATGTTTCGAACTCCCCAGGATGTCGGCTTGTGAAGGCATTTCTTCGTAACCTCTTACAGAAATCGTACTTCGTAAGAAATGACTACTTATGTAGCATACATTTTTAGCATCGATTTTTGATGGTCTTATAAATGTAAAGACACATTTAAGGAAACGTCCATAGAAATATGCTTTCTTTTGCTCGTCTGGTAGAGAATCATGCTAACTTTACATTTTATACCTAAAGAAAGGGTATATTTAGGTCTTGAACATAATTCCCAATATCCGAGTAATGCTGAACGCGATCAGCCGTCGCATTAACTTTCAGCGATTTCAGTCAACAAGGTGCATGCTTTCGGCGGAAGTAAAATCATATATTCCTCTATGTCTTTAAAAAGATACGATGTATATTCCACAAAATATTGCAGTGGATGCGAAGCATGTTCTAGATTTCATGAGAAGCATTAGCAAGCGAACATGCACGACGCTGCATGAATGGACATTGCCCGGTCTTCAAATCTCACAATTAGAAACTTTTCCAAAAGCTAGATATACCCTTTATTCAGGTATAAAATTAATGAATGGGTACCCTATCGAGTGCATGACTCCTGCACCATGAAGGTGCTCGACATTTGAGGAAACAGACGCACCACATGAACGCAAACATGTAGGTATCTACGATAATTCCCAAATAAATGCGGAGAAGCAATCATGTGGTAATTGAGAAATTCCACGCTCATTTGTCCGAAGTCCAGCGAGCAATATTCAACGCAATCGTACCGAGCGAACCCGAATTTCATGTCATGCGGTCATGCGTCTGCTGAGAAAAACAGAAATGACCATTGATTTTTCTGGCTAACTGGTATAATTTCAAGAAGGTTTCTTAAAAATACATTATGGGTCACTGGGTTGACAGACTCCTCATCTCCTCTTCTTCTTGTCCTTCTTCTTTGGCCATTCCAGCGGGATGCTGACTTGGCGCCACACGGCTCTGCCGGCCCTTTTGGCACCCGCCCAGACCTTCCGACCAACCTCTCCGGCCTTTCGCGCACCGGCTGCGATGGCGCGCCTAGCACCACGAACAAGCCTCGGGCCATGGCGTTGGACGGCACGTATTACGCCCCGCACAACTGGTCTCAGTGAAATCCGAGCTGGGACCAGGACTTCGTCCTCGTGCAGCTCGCGTTCCTCCTCCTCCGCCGTCACGCTGCTCACCTCGTCCACCAGCTGATCGAGGTGTGTTGCGTCTTGCGGCTGAAGGGAAGCCGCTAAAACAGTCAGTCCAAGGAGACAGAAAAGTACCACCGGAGATTGCATGCTGTACCATGCACGAACGCTGCTCGAGGACGATTATATATTGAAGCAGAGGACTGAGGCTACCGTCAGTGATCGCATCTACGGAGGCGTAGGCTGCCATGAAGTAGAGAGGCGTTTGTTTACTAGGTTCGGAGGCGTTCGAGGTCCGGACACGTGTACCCGAGTATGCCACGTGCTGGGAATTAAACTTATACTCACGTCTAGCAGGACCGGATCAGCTACCATTTCCACAGTAGTTAAAAGCGGTAAGTTTACGTCGAATGGATTGTGACTAAAAGCTGGAATTTGTGAATAGGCTGTGAGAGAAGTTAAGTTTGCATTTTCAAGGAAAATTGAGTTAAACGATATAAATAGTGAATAGTGTTTTTGTGTCTCAAGTGATTACTCGGCCTGAGGATGTGGCTACAGAATGTGTAACGTTGAAAAATATTCTTATTTTATTATGCGTTAGATGGATATTTTAATAAGCAAAAGTACCCAATTTTCCATGAATTATTGTTGACAATACTTAGCTCATCTTCTTGCAGCGCGTGACCTATCTCATGAAATGCTGGCTGAAATTCTGAAATGCGTTTTCGATTAAGAAGGATTACTTGGTCGCGTTTGTGATACTGATTATCTTAAGGCATACTCTTATAACATTTTGGACTCGGCAGGGTGTGTGCTTTTAAATGCACTTCTTTTCAATCTCCTGTAGAAAGCGTGCTTGGTAAAAAATGACCACTTAAGTAGCATGCATTTTCCCATTGAATTTCGGTGGTCTTGGAAATTCAAATGTATTTTATAGAAACCATAAACAAAAATATGCTTTCTTTTAGTCAGTCAATAGAGAATCACGTCTTCTTTATATTTTATACTTAAGGAAGGAGTATAATTAGGTTTTAAAAAAGTTTTCTAATTGCCGAAAAATTTGGAGCCTGATCATTCGTTGCATTAGTGCTTAGCGATTACACTCTACAAGGTGCATGCGTTCCGCGTAAAGAAAATCCCATATTTTTCTATGTCATTAAAGAGATATCATACAGGGTCCATAAAATTTGGCAATGGATGCGGACCATGTTGTGCATTTCATGAGGAGCGGTGATAAACGGCCAGGTACGATGCTATGTGAATGGACATATCGCGGTCTTAAAAAGTCTCATAATTAGAAACTTTTTTAAAACCTAATTATACTCCTTCCTTGAGTATAAAATATAAAGAAGACGCGATTCTCTATTAATTGACTGAATGAAAGCATATTTTTGTTTGTGGTTTCTATAAAACACGTTTGAATTTCCAACACCACCAAAAATCAATGGGAAAAATACAGGCTACTTAAGTGGTCATTTTTTTACCAAGCACCCTTCCTACAGGAGATTGAAAAGAAGTGCATTTAAAAGCCCACATCCTGCCGAGTCCAAAATGTTTTAAGAGTATGCCTTAAGATAATCAGTATCACAACCGCGACCAAGTAATCCTTCCTAATCGAAAACGCATTTCAGAATTTCAGCCAACATTTCATGAGATAGGTCACGCACTGTAGCTATGGGATCTATCGCTGCACTGTGGTTAGATCATGCAGGAAGATCATGGATTTGCAAAGACGTCCCGTCATACGGAGACAAATTATATTTGATGTCATGAATGTGGCCCATGCAGCAGGGTTTTGCAAAAGCGCAACTAGCCACAAATGCAGTTGAATAAGGATACTGCACGGGCATGCCGAGTTGCATCACGAAGAGACACAGGGCAAAGTTGCTGAATTAAAATATCTTTCACGGGTTCTTGTCTGCCAGCGAAAATTCGTCAGAGGCTGCACGTGTAAGAGATAGGGGCTCTTAATCCACTCAACCGCCTTCTCACAACACGCAGGTTATCAGCGTCGTAGAGATCGGAAGCAGCATCCAAACCTGATGTCACAAGGCAGAAAGAGCCGCCGTCCCGTCAGAGAATGACGTTTACTAGATCTGTTGCAGTTGAGGACAAACCATCGCCATCGGAAAAATTGGACGATAATTGCGAAAGCGAATAGCAGAAAATGCAACATCAGTGAGGAGGAAAAACGTCATTGCAGCTCATTCAAGAGGAAGAGTGTCCACAAACATGAAAATCATTCATTCCTCTATTCTGTTTCCTCATTTTTTGTGCATCCATGTCGCAGGCTGTGACACTGAGGCGCTCGTCACCACGTCCACCCACGCGCTAGTGCGCGGTTTGCTGATATAATTGGCATACGCACGCACACATTACGCTGGTCGCGACTGCACGCCTATATAACCAGACGCCCCGCCCCGATCCGGACATCAACATGCAATCTCTCACTTCACTGCTCCTCCTACTGCTCAGTCTCATTTCACTCGCCGCATCCTTCCATCTTCGACAAGAGGATGAGGCGCAGCTGATGGATCTCGCCAAATCGGCGTCAACTGACTTGCTGGACGAGGGCGCCGAGGAAGAGGAGGTGCTGGCACCTGCACGAATTCCCGTGAAGCCGATAGTGCGAGGTGCCTGGCAGTTGGCGTAGAGGCATGGACCGAGAATTGTGAACGGTGCCAAACGCGCCATCGGTGCCGGCGTGTGGAAGGCGAAGGAGGTTGGTGGGAAGATTGTGCGGGGTGCGAAGAGGGCGGGCAAGGCAGTGTGGGAAAGGCTGAGCGTTCCGGTTGAATGGCCCTTCGATGATGACGACGACTGATGCTCAGACGGCCATCACTGATTCTAAATGGCCAGATCTTCAAAAGTATTCTACTGTACCTTCTTTGCTTTATGCAACATATATAAATGCTATTTTTCTAAAGTTGAAATATTACACTATATGGTCACTGCATACGTGAAAAATGCATCCTGGTCCAACATATCTGGTTTTAGATAGCAGCAGCATCCCGGTATCTCTGCAAGTGCTTCTCCTTTTTCTTGAGCTGGCGCCTAAGTAATTCCTCCCAATCTAAGACACATTTCAGAATTCCAGCCAACATTTCATGAGATCGTTTACTCACTGTATGTCTCCGACTCCCATCGTGGCTTGGAATTTATCTGACTGGGGTATTTACTCGGCCATAACGTTTCATTTTTCCTACGACCATCATGACAACCCCCGATGACAAAAGTCGGCACGTGCGTGGCGCGTGCAAACGCGGTTTTTTCAAGTCGGTCGGAGTACTCACGCACAACCTCGATGCCCTCACCGAACTTTACCTATGGCACTGATGTTCATCGTTGCCTGCGATGGCTAAAGTTCCACAGGAGAACTTGTACCGACTGCCATTTGATAGTATGACAACGCCTCGACGTTGGATACGGCTGACTGAGGCCGGCTTATTAACCAGAAATCTCCATTCGGGTCTCTCCTGTCGTTGTCGGCAATGCTGGTTTGCATTGATTAGGCAGATAGCTAGACACAGACGAACTTCGATTTCAGGAAGTATTTTGGTCAATAATCCAGACCACATCTCTGATCTAAGCGTTCTCTATGCGAGTGCAAGTTTAGACCAGGGTTAGGATCAGCTTACTAAATGCAGAATAAGGAAGAAAATGCATTTTATTGGTCTATATGCATCCCACAACTCCAGCCATATCAGACATATACACAAGATAAAGAATATAGACAAATACCAGGGACATTGGAATATCCATATCTGGCCTTTCGGCCATCAGCAACCACTCATTCCTAACACCGGAGGCTCGGGCTCACGATCTTTTGCTTTTTATTCCAGCGATATATCCACCGAGTCATGCGCCCGCTTACCAACTGAGCCCCCGTCCGAAACGGCGATCGGTAAATGCCCGTGAGAATTTTCAAGACCGGTTTCCCAGGTCGTCAGCATACGCTGACAGAGATCAGATGTGTCAAAATTTCTTTATATCAGCACTATGCAGATGACGATTTGGGATTTTCGAGGCACATCGGTTAAATCTGCTTCATTCGAGTCTTAACCTTCGATTTCTGCCAATCGATTTGCTTTCAAAAGGCAGACTGATGGTAAATTCCGATTCATTCATGTCCATGTACGTCGAAAACTGATGGATCACTTCAAACACCAGCATACCGCAAAGGTTATTTTCAGACACTGTTGAGAGGAACACACATATATTCGTAAGCAGTGTTTCTGGCCCCTGTATTTGTTCTCATCCACTTGCTAGTGCAAACGTTACCCGAAAACAGTGTCAGAATTTCGAATGTTAGAACACATTTTTTGTAAGCTCTCCACCACATTCAGGGAAACCGGGTTCTCGGAACGAAGATGGCTGAACGAGGTTAATACGGCCTGCCCCAATATGTAGGAAAAACGGTGATTCAATAAACCTCGCCGTACAATCGTAGCCATCGTCTTCGTCATCGTCGTTGTCGTCCTTGTCGAAGAATACATTCTTGGGAATCTTTTTTCAGTCTCTCTCCAACTCCACTGCATTTCAAGTTAAATACAACGTGTAGCTCATCGTCATTAATAGATATTCATCTAACGTGACTACCACCATGAAGATTAAAAGAAATTCTCCATAGCGTAGGCTCGTGAAATCACGATTTCCAGGCAACGTGTATTTCAGCAATGCGTTAGAGCCATTTTGAAAAATCAGTTCGCCACGCATGTAGTTGCACGATTAAATAGGTGGGGGTTTATTTTCGATCTCTACCGAAAAAAATTCATAAGTTAAAAATGAATGGGTACCCTATCGCGTGAATGAAGGCGCAGTCGTTCGAAATATTATATAATTTATATATATATATATAATATTATATAATATAAAATATATATATTACCCTCTCGGCAAAACCTGAGCGAGTTGCACCATGGGTGTGCCATGGGATGTCCGGAAAAACGTGTCATACGTGTCTGTTTGAAGTAAAATTGTAGACAAGGCAGAATGGAAGGAGTGAGTTCCGTAAGAACGATCGGTGAGCGCCCCACTACAAAAAATATCGTTTGTCTGAACGGATGCAATCAATCTCATTAAAAATATTTCGCCAAATATCAAGTAGTTTGATTAATTGTAACTTTTGTTTGACTAACAATGACATAGGGAATTGGTGCCTTACGTCATGTTCCACAACCCCTTAGAAGCTGGTTGCATGAACAACCAATCAAATACCACGCCACGGGGAAGGAGGAGAGACTGCAGCATATGACCTGCACTTCTACATTCAGTATTTACTAAATCACGTGCAAGTTACCATGCATGAACTCACAGTTGTCTAAATGACAACAGTGTTTTCAATATTTGCCACTTCCTCCCCACTGTAACAAACTAGAATACAGGGCTACGTACACTCCATTATTACGAAGACTGTAGATAACGTATACATAGATAGTAGGGCAGGCTTGACCCGGATGCTCCATCCTTCCGACACTGGCGCGACAAGCACGATAGGAGGGGAGCAAGTGCTGTGTTTATCAGGGCTTGTGGGTCCACAAGTATCTCCAGCGTGATAGGCGTAAGCCTACCTCAACACACCCCATCTCACCAAGTATTCCCCACAAAAGCCAGCTTTATAAAAATAGCATTTATATATGTTGCATAAAGCAAAGAAGGTACAGTAGAATACTTTTGAAGATCTGGTCAATCAGAGACACTGATGGCCGCCTGAGCATCAGTCGTCGTCATCATCGAAGGGCCATTCCACCGGAACGCTCAGCCTCTCCCACACTGCCTTGCCCGCCCTCTTCGCACCCCGCACAACCTTCCCACCAATCTGCTTCGCTTTTCTCACACCGGCACCGATGGCGTGCTTGGCACCGTTCACAATTCTCGGTCCATGCCGCTTCGCCAACTCCCAGGCACCTCGCACTATCGGCTTCACGGGAATTCGTGCAGGTGCCAACACCTTCTCCTCCTCGAGGGCGCTCTCTTCTGTCAGGTCAGTCGACGTCGATTTGGCGAGTTCCAACAACTCCGCCTCATCCTCTTGCCGAAGACGGAAGGATGCGGCGAGTGCAGTGAGAGTGAGCAGTAGGAGGAGCAGTGGAGTGAGAGGTTGCATGTTGATGTCCGGATCAGTGCGGCGCCTCTGTTTATATAGGCGTTGAACCGCGACCAGCGCAGTGTGTGCGCACTTACATCACTCACATCAACAAACCGCTCGCGTACATTTGTCGCATCATCAGCAAACCGCCCACTAACGCGTGGGAGGAGATGTTGGCGAGCGTCACAGTGTCCTCCCCCTGCCTGTGGCACACCTGTGCATGAAAGAAAAGAACGCCTGATGGGAAATGTGATAAAAATCGTTGGGTCCCCTGTAGGTATACAGAAAAAACATCTAGTCGAATCAGCTAATGAAACTCACCGACGACAGCATGCTGTGCTCTGTAGCCCAATGCTCGTTGACTTCTAAGCAGTGAGGCAGAGTACTAAGGCCATCGACACTGATGTCATTAACGGTGTTGTAGGCAGCCATTGTGTGGAGAGGCGTTTGTTTACTTTGCTCGCAAACGGTCGAAGACCCATGAAACGTGTGCCCGAGGATACCACGTGCTGTCCTGTCGGTATTCGATCGGGAATATACAATTGTCGGGGGCAGGGCAACCGGCTCGTGGCCCGATCGCAACCGACAGCAGAACGAGCCCGTGGCTCAGTGGTTAGAGGCGTTGGACTTCTAACAAACAGATCGTGGGATCGAGCCCCAGGTGTTCCACATGTCTGGCTTAGGTATGACTGGCTGACGACAGCGAATAAGCCAGAAATGGCCTTTCCTGCCACCCGTGTCGATAGGTTGCGGTCTGTTGTCCATTCAGCCAAATTACGCCATCTACTGGATACTTCAAAAGATCCTACACGAATTTACTGATGTTGCGCTTGCATCCGGACGTCGGCTGACTGATCTCGACTACGCTGACGATATCACCTCGCCAGTTTCAAGCTTTGCTGACCTTTGGCATGTGGTGTCAGGGGTGAATTTGGTCTCAAAATCAGTCGATTTACCTATACACGCTGGGATGACCAAAGTGTTTTGAAGCTACATCACTGGCCTGCAGGTAAGACCAAATGCGGAAAATACCGCGGCATAAGTCTCCCAGACGTTGCTGCGAAGATCTTCGCTGTTGTCCTTCTCGGGCAATTCCAGTCTGTTTGTGACTCGAGGACGAGGCCCAACCAAGCCGAATCCCGAGCTGGACGTAAATGAGCAGACGAGACACTCACATTGAGGCGCATTCTGAAATTTTGCCATAGCCACCACCAGCAACATTGTATATTCCCGATCGCAACCGACAGGACAACTTGCCCGTGGCTCAGTGGTTAGAGGCGTTGGACTTCTAACAAACAGATCGTGGGATCAAGCCCCAGGTGTTCCACACTTCGGGGTTGGGTATGACTGGCTGACGACGGCCAATAAGTCAGAAATGGCCATTCCTTTCTCCCTTGTCTTTGTCGGTAATAACATTCTGCCTACATCATGCGCCGCTGTGCGGCTGCTGGTTGGGCTCGAGAGAGAGCCCGTAAGGCACAACGGAACGAGTGAGTTCCGTAAGAACGATCGGTCAGCGCTCCCTGTCAGACCGGTCAGTGCTTAAAGAATGAGAATGCAGCTTGGTGACAACTTGTTCCTGAAAGTTGCGACACGGCAATAATGCGCATTTAGACTTACCACCACACCCTCTATTCCACAACGTACACAGACCGGAATTTCAACCGACAACAAATAGGCGGTGGAAAGGTAGCTCGGACCCCAACTGGCCTGTCGTCGCACCCTGAATGTTGGCATTCGTTAAGGGCGCTCAGTCCAACTATCACCTCTATGATTCCGTCTTGGTGGTCCGCCCATATAGCGTCTTTCTCGTTGTAGGGTTCCGTGCTAGCTGAAGGCCGTGTGCTCGGTCTCGCTTTCACACTGATACTGGTGAGTGTCTGCAATAAGACGGTAGGGGGAGGGAGAGCCGCTGGGACAGAGAACTCGTGAGTATTTGTCAAAACAAGTACTGTGCGGTCAACAGTTGCGTCAGCTGCCTACTAAGCGCACCTGTGACGCACTCAACGAGGACATTCCGCGCGCCTGCGTCCGGACATCAGTGTGCGGCATTCACACTGAAGGCCATTCAGCGCCAGGGGCGGAGCGCTCGGTCATGTGCGGTCATGCAGACTTGACTGAGTTTTAATGAGTAAAATTCATAATTCTGTGCCTCCCTGATCTTATTAATTCCACTATGTCCGACCACCTGATGCAAGTAGGTAACCTAAAAATCTCTATAAATATGCCCCCAGTGAAACAAATCATAATCAACGAGGTCGGCGTCCTGAAGGGTTTAAGATGTCCTCTCTCTGCCAAATCCTGCTCATGCATATCTTCATCGAATATTGATGCGTGAGGAAGGGTGGGTCATTTGTGAGCAACGGAAGTGATAAGCGTAGTGGCATAATCCTGAATCCGAAGTTGCAGCAGCAGAATTTTACGGTGGCAGTCTGGTCGGCCGCTCTTGTTGTCGCCCATGACACATTTCTTGGCAGAAATTCAATGATATGAGATACGATACTTTGTCGCATTCTCCATATTCTCCCGAAATACCACCTACTGAAAACCATCTATATGGTATCGGACGCTTTTTAAGCAATAAAATTTTCAAGAAAAATAGTTAGGTGGTGACTGTATTAAAAGATTTCACAGCTGGTAGATCATTACTGACGAGACACTAATGTCACTGTTTGTTGACGATTTTCTGATTCGTTTGCATAAACTACGCCAAAACTAGTGCATGGCTGACGGTCTACTGACGACTTGATAACCACACATCACATAGCCGAATTTTTGCGCTGGTAATCATCATGAAGTCGTTTGTGGGGCGGCTCACATCAGGACGGAGTTTCGCACTGTGTATGCTATGCGCCAAACGATACACTTACTCTATTAATCGATCCTCTCAAATGATGGCGTCTACCGCCTCTTCCACATAGTTTACTCAAAACCGCCAGATATTTCGTATCTGAATTTGTATTAATGCGCATCTCCCAGAGGCCGAAATGTAAATGCGCTGGCAGGCGTTGTATGTGGTACGCACACATAACAAATGTCACACATGTATTCTCTGTGGCTGCACGCCTAGACTCAGACTCAAGCTGGGTCAGACACCTATGCCCGATTCCATCATTGGTATGCTTGGCCTTCACTTGACAGCCGACCCTGCTGTGAACTGGTGCGATGCATGCGCGATATATCCTGCGCATGTCAAACACCGCCGGAAACTAATTCACGCGCAATTCATCGTCTCGGCGCCCAGATGCTGTCTGGTACACTGTGAACATTGCCGAAAACGACTGTCACACTGTCATTGACGTAGACCTGCGAAACGGCTCTCTCATCCTCTTCTGCATCAACCGAATGATTCCGGGGACAACCAAATGTCAAGTTGGCAAGCGCTGGCTGGGAATTAATGGTTGATGAAGACAAACAGCCCGCCTACGCTTCAAACTCACGAACTGACTCCAACAGTGTGTGCCAAATATTCCCAACACACCTTGGCGATCACATGTGCGGCAGTGTCATAGACAGCTCGTTAAAAAAGACAGACATCAGCTTATTTTCAGTCTTGCGGTGACGGAATAACTTTTTCAATTTAGAGTCTTCCTGGTTGCGAAAATTAGAGCGCAACGGCAGATTCAGGAGCACCGTATTTTCGGTGGTGGTGGTGGTGGTGGTGGTGGTGGTGGTGGTGGTGGTGGTGGTGGTGGTGGTGGTGGTGGTAATGTTGGCGATGATGTTGATGATGATGATGATGAGGAGGAGGAGGAGGAGGAGGATGATGATGACAGATCGAACGCTGTTAACTACGTCTGACGCGGCTGCCCTGGGCCATTGTGTCACCCACCTGCGCCCCTCCCGCTCACGCTTCCGGTCTTATTGACTCGACCTTGACACCGCGGCCAGGTTACGTGGGAGGAGGGAGTGCGTTAGATGCTGCGCATGACTGCTCCCACTGCAAACTAACTCACGCGCAAGTTACTGTGTCTGCATCACCTTGCCGTAGAGCACACGGTAGACATTCCCGGACGCAACGGTTGAACGGTCTGGTGATTGAATGTGTGCAATATTTGCAGCGTTCATCCACCGAACAGGAATACAAGGTCACATGCAATCCCTTACTATAAAGGCCGTAGATGACGCGTGTCTAGATTTCGGCATCACATTGCGCGGACACTAGGGGCTTCAGTGCCAGTTTAAAATTTATGGCGCAATTTCTGCGTGCATTAATGTTTTTGGGGCCACCAGTCACTCCTATTTGCTGATGTTAATCCAATCAATTAACTACGGCGTCAGTGCAGTATTACTATCATGCTGTTGCGATTAAGAAGGAAGAACGTACATCCCAGGTATGCAGTGACCGCATGCTGTAGATTACCGATTCCAAAAATTGTTCCGGATTTTCGACTATGCACTCAAGGAATGCTCAGTTTATTGCACACGAGTGTAAGCCTACCTCAACACACCTCATCTCACCACGTATTCCCCACAAAAGACAGGTTTATAAAAATAACATTTAGGTATTTTGCATAATGCAAAGAAGATACAGTAGAATACTATTGAAAATCTGGTAAATCCAGAGCGGTGACCATCATCTGAACATCAGTCGTCGTCATCGTCGGAGGGCCATTCCACCGGAACGCTCAGTCTCTCCCACACTGCCTTGCCTGCCTTCTTTGCACCCCGCACAATCTTCCCACCAACCTCCTTCGCTTTCCGCACACCGGCACCAATGGCGTGCTTGGCACCGTTCACAATTCTCGGTCCATGCCGCTTCGCCAGCTCCCAGGCACCTCGCACTATCGGCTTCACGGGAATTCGTGCAGGTGCCAACACCTCCTCCTCCTCCTCGACGCTCTCCTCTGTCAGGTCAGTCGATGTCGATTTGGCGAGATCCAGCAACTCCGCCTCATCCTCTTGCCGAAGATGAAAGGATGCGGCGAGTGCAGTGAAACTGAGCAGTAGCAGGAGCAGTGAAGTGAGAGATTGCATGTTGATGTCCGGGTCGGGTCGGGGCGGGGCGTCTGTTTATATAGGCGTGCCGTCGCGACCAGCGCATTGTGTGTGCACTTACATTAGTCACACCAACAAACCGCGCGCGTAGATTTGTCGCATCATCAGCAAACCGTCCACTAACGCGTGGGAGTAAATGGCGGCGAGCGTCACAGCCTCACAGAATGTAGTATAGCCTGCACCTGCCTGCGGCACACCTCTGCAATAAAAAAAGAGAACGCCAGACTGGATATGTGATAAGAAGCGATGGGTCCCGTGTAGGGGATACCGAGCAGTGTGCCTGTCGCGCAACGTCTACGCAGGGGCCATAATGGTTTACTGAATGATCCAGCCACTCTGTGTTCAGCCTACATCCGTGATGGAACATTGTATGCATGTATGTTTGTCGTGCGTCGGACGGAAGCTCTCTCCACCTTAGTGGCATGCACCGACAGGTGCCGATAGACACCGGGTGTAGGAAAAAGTCAAGGAGTATGTGGAACACTTCTACTACATAATGACGAGTCGGCGCATTTTTGACAGGATCAGCCCGAGGTGGTTAAATCTATCAGTACACGCCAGATCTCGTGGGATGGAATTGTGCCATCTGGCAGGATAATTCAATCCTCCTCATTTGGTGGGACAGTCAAAGTCGAGTCAGCTGCAGATGCAGAGCTTGTCCCTCAAGACTCCAGACTCGGTGAACGTGCGTGATCAACTGACACCGCTGCCGCTTGAAGCGTCATCAAGCTCCCTATCAATCAAGCCGCAGATACTGTTTCGCCAGGCGGCACAGTTTACTACTTATTTCTCATCTATGCAGGTTACCGGTAGAATTAATCGATGGTTGTTGGCCGCAATTATTTTGATGACTTTGAGGCTACCGAGCCACACAGTGGATGCCCTGAACTGCAAAGCTGTCAACTCAGATCCAATATCAATCCTTGGTTCCAGAGAAAAAAGTGTTTTTGAAGGAACAAGAGGTTTGCTGGCCTGACTTTCCGGATCCTCAATTGAGTCCATCAGGACAGTATAAGGTGGCTCACGATTACCGAAGCTGTCTTTAGCCCGCGCCATCCAACACGACAAATTTTACCGCGAATAAAACTCTTGTTCCAGTGATGGCGCCTTCTTTTCTTCCTGAAACTCGCCACTTCTCCATCAGTCCGCTACTCGTCAGCCAACATGCATAGGTGGGCCTCACTATGTCCTGATGTTTCAGCACATCCCTTATCGTCAGTATCCAGACGCGTTTGAGGCTATCGAGAAACAGTGAAGGTCATGATAATTCAGTCTTTCCTTCCAAAGAAAAACACGTGATCGCGGAAGCGAGAGGTTTTGTAGGCCGTTGTCCTGGATTTGCACTCGAATCCATCATCACGGAAAGCCGCAGATAAAAATTATGGAATTACAAGAAGCTCAGTATTTATTTATACGCAGTGGCCACGTAGCCGCATGCCCACTGTAATTGACAACTTTCTTTTTCATTGCTGAGTGTTGAATTTGATTCGATGATTGCTTGCTAGTCCGCTAGTCGCTATTTGTCGAAACACTATCCTGGTTGTGGATTCTTTAAGTGGGCGTAACTCGGCCATTGGCTTGCTGTCACTGGGACCGTCAGACCTTCACGGAGGACTGATCAGTCCGCCAATTAAGCCCCCCGTCCCAGCGGTCACATTCTCTTCTACTTAACTACTTTCTGAAACTCGCCTCCTTGTTTTTATCAGTCCTTCCCCTGTCAGTTATTTGAACAGTTGTATACGATTTGCCTGTAATTACGGCACTTGTCCCTCGTGCGTTAGCAAATGTTGTTGTCTCCAAAAGAGACGTAAATATACGTTCTTTATTACTTGGAACGCATCTGCCCCTATCAGAACGAACACGGATAGGCTAGGCTTATCAGGATAGTGAACCATTTATCCGATACGATGAATTTGCATAGGCTTAACCGTAGTGTGCAAATCAGGCAACGATGGATCGATATCCTAACTGGCAGACTCCAAAAAAATGATTTAAAAAATTGGACAATATTTATGCATTTATCAGACAGCAGTTGTCTGTAGATTGCCCTGGACCGATTTTTGTCAATGTCGCAATGCAATCGGGCAGTGGTTGTTAAGTAGGCGCAAATCGCTCAGATTCCGCTAGGAGTATGGGAACCTTTGAAAATAGAAATGGACAGAATGGCATTGCCAACAACGACAGGGTAGACTAAAATGGCCATTCCCAACCCCGAGGTAGGCATCCCACAAGACTCCAACTCGTAACCTCTTGGCCGGACGTCCTACCCCCTGAGCCAAGGGTTCTTTGTCCTGCCGATGGAAAACATGCCTACAAGTATTCATTCTTATACTCATTCCGTAGCGAATCACGATCTCTTCCTATTTTGTACTCGAAGGAACGGTATCATATGGTTTTTAAAAGCTTTTCCAATAGCGGAATAATTTTAAACCTGACCTGCTGTTATACCTGCAATGAGGGTTTCCAAACTGCAAGCCGCGTACGGGAAACCAAACATTTTTCTACGGTACTTAGAGGAGACTATATGAGGTTCATAAAATTTAGCAGTATATTTGAGCTGTATTGTTAACTTTAGAAGCCATAATGGTAAATGCAGAAACATGGTGTTTTATGAACAACCATTTTACGGTATTGAAAAATCTCACAATGAGAAACTTGTTTGAAACCGCGTTAAACCCCTACTTCGAGTACAAAGTTGGAAAAAGTTGTAATTTTCTACCAAATAAGTAAAATAATGAATATTTTTATTTATGTTTCATGAAATATGCTTGAATGCTTATGAGCATCGAATATCAATGAGAAAATGGTATGCTACATAAGTAGTCATTTTTTGCAGCGTATAGTTCTTGCATGCAGCCGAAAAGGAGTTCGTTTGAAAGGCGGCGCTGTGGTGCAACAAGATTATTATATAATCATGCAGCATGAAGATTAGTTTTACAACCCCACTTAAATAATCCTTTAGAAACGAGAACGCATTTTGAAATTTCGGTTGACATTTCATGAGTTAGTCCACTTGATGTAGTTGTCGAACAGTCTTTTTCGAGAAGAAAGGTCGGCTTGAACTTAAGTCAGAAGGTTTTTGTTCAGGGCTATTTTAAGTGAAAACAGGAAAATGCTTCTTTTTTCAGCCTGCCCAACGAGATTTATCAGGTGCTCAGAACATTCATCTCAACTTTGTCCTTCTCAGTAGCTTTTGGTATTGCATTTGACCTATTCCTGCAAAACATGCGTTTTTGCATGCGGTGCCGTCAGTGCTCTTGTCAGGCCGTCGAACGCCTCCGAACCAAGTAAACAAACGCCCATCTCCGTCATGGCAGCCTACGCCTCCGTAAATGCGATCACTGACAGTAGTCTCAGTCCTCTGCCTCAATATATAAACGTTCGCGAGCAGCGTTCAGCTTGGTACACCATGCAATCTCCGGTGGTGCTTTTCTGGCTGTTAGGACTGACTGTTTTAGCGGCTTCCCTTCAGCCGCAGGACGCAACACACCTCGATCAGCTGGTGGACGAGCTGAGCACCTCGACAGCGGAGGATGAAGAACCCCAGCTGCACAGAGAGGAGGTCCTGGCTCCAGCCCGGATTTCGCTGAGGCCACTTGGGCGTTTCGCCGGTCGCGCCATTAGAGCGGGTGCGCGAGCGGTCGGACGGGTTGCAAGGAAGGTCTGGTCGGGTGCCAAGAGGGTCGGCAGAGCCGTGTGGCGCCAAGTCAGCATCCCGCTGCAGTGGCCGAAGAAGAAGGACAAGAAGAAGAGGAGATGAGGAGTCTGTCAACCCAGTGACCCTTCATACTTAATGTATTTTTAAGAAACCTTGAAATTATATCATTCATCCAGAAGGATCAATGATCATATATGTTTTTTTCAGTAGACGAATAGCCGGATGACATGAAATTCGGTTCGTTCGGTACAGTTGCGATGAATACCACTCGGGGTACTTAGGACAATTGAGTGTGGAATTTCTCAATTACCGCATGATAGCTTGTCCGCATCTATTTGGGAATTATCGTAAATAACTACTTGTTCGCGTTCAGGTTGTGCGTCTGCTTCTTCAAATGCCGAGTACTTTCATAGTGCATGAATCAAGCACTCGAAAGGGTACCCATGCATTTTTAACTTATGAAGTTTATCCAGTAGAGACCCAAAATAACCCCCCCCCCACGACATTTAACAGTGTATCTACATGTGTGGCAAACTGATTTTTCAAAATGGGTCTAACGCATTGCTGAACTACACATTGCCTGGAAATTGTGATCTCACGAACCTGCGTTCCGAAAAATTTTCTGTAATCTTCATGGTGGTAGTCACGTTAGACATGGTGTTGTTACAGAAGTCGGTGGAAATTGCTGTTTATTTTCTAAAAGGAAATTTTATGAAATTATGTCAACTGACCAGAAGTTCCAACGTTGAGCTTTATTCTTTCTGCGGGCGAATGGCCGCATGACATGAAACGAGGGTTTATACGACACCGTTGTGACCCCTATCACTTGGTGAACTTCGAGCAAATGGGTGCAGAATTTAGCGCATGACGTATGATAGCTGCTCCACAATAATTTCGTATTTTCACAAATAACTACAATGTTCGCGTTCGGGTGGCATGCCCGCTTGTTCAAACGCAGTTAACCTCCAATTTTGCAGGAATCGAACACTCGATGGGGAAATTTTCATTTCTGAGCTAGTCTTATTACATTTCAATGAATTTATAAAAGTGAAAAAATGGACTATTTGCTTTATTCGTTAGTCATGTAAGGAGCGTTTATTCGGACACATATCTATTAGGTTGGACTCAGCAATTGAGAAAAGTTTAGCCCGAAAGTAAACCTCCTATATTTCAGTGTCATCAAATGTCAGGAGTCGGAAGAACCGATTATTCAAAATTTCTTCCATGCATTGAGGAACTACACACAGCCTTGAGACTGTGATTGCAGGAACTTACACCACCGACTATACTACGCATTCAGCCGGTACACCCTAAGGATCGGGTTGGCTATCTGAATAAGAAAGAAGACGTCTACAAGATCGCGAGTGATGACTGCGACGTCATATATTGATGCCAAACTGGAATGTCTGCTTCTGTCTGCTTTCACGAGTATCAACTGGCAGTTAGGGCGGCAGACCATCTGTCGCACGTGTCCATGAATGCCCTAAAAAGCAGGCAAACCTTTACTATGGACAATATTACCAGAAGGGCATTTAGAGGCGTTAGTCGATCGATACAGAATGGCGCACACGGCAGTCTGCAGCCGCAGACAAGTATTGATTTTCTGAACATGTTCGAAGATTTTGTCATTTTTGCGCACTAACTCAACGCTTGACGGCAACCTACGTAACTGGAGTTGGATATATATACCAAATAAGGTTTCCTAATTTTCTCAAAAACACATATTTACTTCAAAAGTTTAAAGTTTCCGTCAGCGCTTGCAATATGGTGTCAACCCGTTTGAGTTGGCGACCATTGTCTTAGTACCCATCCAGAGCTTTTTCCAGCGTCCGGCTTTTTGTGCATCTGATACGAAAGCGCGAAATGTACCACGAGTAATCTGTGGGCTGCAGCTTCTGACTACGCTCACTGCTGAAATTTGTACTGACCCCAGGACACCAGTCCCATGGATTACCGCCAACCCTTTCAACACTAGCGCCACATGTCTCTATTCGACTCAGTCCCCAGAGCAAAACGGTTGTTTAGAAAGTCTATCGAAAAGTGGGCGGTGTGTGTACTTTATACTGCGCTGACTGAAGCTCTGGATTGGTTCTATAGCCAGACCGATTACAGACGTAACCACTTTAAATCACGTCTATAGGGTAGAGATGTATGGTTGTATCTCGTTTTATTTACATAATGAGGAACGGAACGTTGTCAAAATCCTTATGGTCGGAAAGGACTATGTATCAGTATCCCTTAGAATTTCGTCTCTTAAGCCAGATCAAACGTCCAGTTTGAAAATTCCTTTTTACGTTGTTAAGGATAAACTGTCATCCTGATTCCAGCAGCCTTCTCTCAAAACTTCCTCCTGACTAAATACCAATGATCTTCGCCGACAATTTCAATGAATACTTTTCACAGTTCCCACTGACCGGCATATTTTTTATATTGTCCTCCAAATCTTCGAAATGCCTTCTGATTTAGCCAACTTGCTACTTGACAGACAGAAATCATGACATAAATAAGGGGAACTAGGCCAATCTGTTAATTTAATTTCGTCTTCTGGATTTCTCAGATTTCTGCACTTGAGAACGATTATTGGTCTTACAACTGAACATTCATCTGCCCACCGATGGCGCAATCTGATGTTAAAAGACAAACCTCCGCAAACAAAACACTCGACGACCTATTCTTCACTCTAACGTATTTTAGTGTTAAATGAGTTCGTACGCGACAGCGTAGTATCTTGCTTCGTCCCGTCGTGTTATCACCTACGACGTCAAGTATATCTAAATATGCCTTGCTATTAAAAGAAAATAAGTAGAACAAACATATGTGTGAGAGGTGTGCGTCTTCAGGAAGATTAGTATGGAAGGGCAGTGTGCAGGATGCATTTTAAAGCCTTCGATATTCTGTGCACTCCAAAACACCCCGGCGTTTCTACTAGATTCTAGTGCGCACAAAATGAAAGCAACATATTTTTTATCAGACAACTGTACATGTCACATCATAGTCATACAAAACGACCTCTTGGCCGGCATATCTGGGCCAATTTAAAGGCTGGCAGTATAATTAATAACGTTGTGGGCATTAGAATAGAAAGACAACCGTGCGCATACCTCATGAATGTTCATCGTGGAAAAATTTCCCAAACCGATGCACTCCTTTCGTGCAAGAATGTAATTCGAAGGCGTTGCGCATTTCTTGTGGAAATTTGGATTGGAGATCCGCGAACACCAACACTCATTCAAATGCATACTTTCTAGGTTGTGTTTCTTTTAAAGTGAAATGACTCTGACGGTATCCAAATTTTGTTGACATCGTGTTCCAGGTTAGTCAAAGGCAAGTGGCTACTAGCGTTTAACGTATCCAAATGTGCAGTCTTGCGACTAGAATCTGGTCGGAGGCGATTCCCAAAACACCAGTACACCATAAATGGGATTCAACTAAAAGAAGTGGACACGCACAAAGACCAAGGTGTCTGGACATGTTCACACTTGCTGCCCTCCCAACACTGCAAAAGAGTCGTCCAAACGACAACCAGCACCATGCACTGGCGTGCCTTCAAAATCTTTCCTCCCGAACGCTTCTCACTGATATTTAGCACGTTCGTCAGACCGCATTTGGAATAAGGAATGCCATCATGGATGCCTTGGATGAAGAAAAGACAGTGATGCCATAGAGCGGGTGCAACGACGGGCCACAAAGATGGTGGACGGTCTAAGGACTCTGTCATACCCAGAAAGACTGATCCAGTTTGACTTGTTCCCCCTATCCTATAGACGAATGAGGTGTGACCTGCTATTGACATTCCGCATTATCCAAGGGTATGAATGTTCGCCGAGATCTGAAGACTTCTTTGAATTCACTACCATGAGTCACCTGTGCGGTCATCCGTAAAAAGCCAAGCGGGAGCGTACACGCCTAGACCATCGAAAGTTTCCCTTCAGCCAGCGTGTTGTTTGACCGTAGAACTCCCTCCCAAGTCAAATATTGACATCTGGTTGATTATCTATATTCAAAAGGCAACTGGGACTTTTGACCTTTGATAACTGACGACTCTCGCTGCAGGACTGTTTGTGGCCAGCCATAAATTTCGTTTCGTGACTTCATCCCTATGTAACACATCCCTGACGTTTAGTGAAATTTTCCCTCCCAAACTACGCAAATGACTGCACTTTATGCTGATTATATATAATTTCACTTAAAATTCCATATGCACATTGGAAATACCGCCTGCCGCACCTTTCGCAGTCACGCACTATGGCAGCGTTTTCCGCAAACAAATATGTTACTAGCAAACGTTTAATAAGATGTGAGTTTACCATTTATATTTTATGGAACTTTTTCAATAGGGTCATTAAGGGCATTGCCTATTATCCTTAAATACCCTTTGATTATCCGCTGTCACCTCTGCTGTGCCCTGTTGACACACTGTAAGCGGCTCGCGACCGTCCACGTTGGAAGAAAAACGACACCTCTTTGTGCCGAGGCTGCCTGCTTCCTCAGCTGCCGTGACGGTGCCACACATCACTTGCTCCCCTCAGCTTTTACGAGACCTGCGCGAAGGCGACTCGAATTTCTCATGCCAGAGGATGTCAAAGAGGCCATAATTAGAAGGACGCATTACAGTCTGAGCCTCTGTCCTCAGGCCGAGTTATATCGTCAGTCCAACTTTTAGTGCGTCGTAACAGATTAATTTGGTTTACGTCAGCACCCGGGGTTGATGGTTCGCTGGCCAATGAAGGCAGATACGCTGTAAAAGTCAGGTTCGGTTTCCTTCCCCCTATCGACAATGATCCCCGAGGACCTTTTGCATGTTTTGTCGAAGACAGTGACTCAGTTGGTAACGCACTCCAACACGCGTGTAGGCGACGTTCTAATCGGCATAGTTAACCAAGAACACAGCACACACCCCATGCTGCCAGTTAGGTTCAGTCGGTCGGTTGGTGTGCTGCAGATAACGCTTAAGCATACGCTAGTCCCGTCCTTGACATCAATATTCCAATTCTCCTTCCATTGTTACCTCTATGGCTTTCGACGCTGGCTGAACTCTTCTGCTCTTGGAGGAAGGAGGAATTCGTGAAAATGAAGATATAATGTCTGTCAGGTTGGAGACC